GTCTTTTCCAACTTTCAGAACGAAGTGTGCTTTCTTTTTTCTCCTTTTTCCAGATCAGTGATCTGTCTTTTGTAATACGATAGCAGTGGGCTTGAACTAACTCCTAAGAAAAGAGTTAGTAAGAAATGGGAAAAGCACAAAGGCATGGTGAGCCACACCTGGTACTGTGTGAGCGTGGGCATCACACCTGTAACAAAATGTCTGCTGACATCCCAAACGTCGTTTTAAAGTCATTCTAAATTACACAAAACAGTAAACTCTGACGAAATAAACATGCCTTCCCTTTTTTTCCATGCTGTAATGTGATAGATGGTTCATAATCTGTTGGGGGAGGGGCGTATTCTTGAAGCCCAGGTGAGGAAAAAAACGCAGATTTCTGCACTTAAAAAAATGGAGTTTTTTAACCATAGTGTTCCCGGACCTTCTAGCCCAGAGGATTAACTTTCTGGTGTACTGGTTTGTCCCCTACAACCTGAGCTCGCGGGTGGGGGTTTCTGCGGCTGCGTTACCTCTCTGGCGTGGAGGCAGGGGCGGACGCAGCTGCGCGGGAGGCGCCGCTGAGCGGTCGGAGGTCTGGTTCCAGAGACGGAGACGGCGGCAGACCGGCTCCTCCTGCGCAGGAGTGAGGGTGGAAGGAGGCCCGGGAGGGCTGGACGAGCTGGTGACGAGTGAAATTCAGGATGTTTGCAATGAAAGAGCACAAAACGTCTCTATGGACCCAGAAATAAGCCCTTCAAATACAATAACAATATTGTATGTTTTGCATTCTTGCCTATTTACTCACTTTGTTAAGGTGTTTAAGGAGGGCATCCAAGGTCAGAGAAGAAGGAAAGGCACGTTTTCGTTTCTGCATAGGATTTAACTTTACAGACCAACGCCCCTCACCCCAAGGCAGTAAAAAAAGGAAATAAAAAAAAGCAACACCACTGACCCCGACGTGATTTGAACACGCAACCTTCTGATCTGGAGTCAGACGCGCTACCGTTGCGCCACGAGGTCCTGTAGGGCCCAGGCTCCTGAAATCTGTCCACCTGGTCTATGGAATTAGTTTTCGGTGTTTGGTGTGACCCACGCAGCTGGATGGAGACAGGCCTGGCTCCTTCCTCCAACCAATCCCTGATTCCCTCTGCCTCCGACTCGCTTCAGTTTGCACTTCTTCCGATTCTATTTCATTGCTCTTCTTACCAAGGTTTCTCCGTGTTTACACAAAAAGAATAGGCACTTGGAGGACTTCCGTTGTTTTTATCGGTCGCTCCGGAGTGGAGTGGGGAAAGCTAGGGACCCGGGGGCGGGGCGTGTTGGAGGCGCGCAGCCTGGGCTCTCAGAAAATCAGCACCCAAGGGCTGAGTTAGGACCCTCAGCCGCTCGGACGGGAAGGGGTCTGCAGGGCTGGGGCTGCCCGAGAATTCAGGGTGACCATTTGTTGAGGGAAAGCTGGAATTTATCCTTTCCTCGCCGACCTCATAGGCTTGCTGTGAGTTGACAGGTGCGGCGTGCTGAGCAAGACGCCGGCCGGGCACACGGGGAGCTCTCTCTCAGCAGACGCTGGCCTAGTTACCGCTGCAAAGTTTGCCGGAATTCTTAGGTGCACATCGCCAAGCCCGGCTCAGCAGAGATGGTGGGAAAACTCCCATTTGTCAGTAGTTAATTTCTCCCATAGATAGAGCGGTTGATGTTAACAAACATAATTGGCTTATTTCAGATGTTAGAATTATTCTTTAAAAAAAAAAAGGAAAACAAAAACAGTAAACAAAATATGGCCCCTCCTTAAATTCAAATGCATAAAATAAGCTGCAACATTTATTCTCAGGAGCATTTGAGATCTTGCTCCCCTAGCCCATGGCGTCAGTTTGGTGCAAATAAAAACAATGCTGGCACACACACCAGCATTGCCAGCGTCACTGCTCTTGTGCTTTGGGGCCGTTATTAAGAAAAATACGGGTGACTTGAACACCAGCGCTGTGATGCTGCGACTGTCCATCTGGCACAGAGACGCTCCTCAGGGACTAAAGTGGGTGGGGGAGATCCCCAGGGTAGATGGGTCGGACTAGGGGTTGGTGCGTGAGGGCGCAGGGCGGCGGGGACGGCACAAGAAGATCTCATGATGCTGCTCAGAGTGATGTGAAATTTAAAACTTATGAATTGTTTATTTCTGGAATTTTCCATTTAACACTTTCCTACAAGGGTTGACAGAAGGTAACTGAAACTTTGTAAAGTGAAACCCTGGATGTGAGGTGACTACTGCACAGACAGGACAGCTGTGCGGTGACCCTGGGACAGCCCGTGCAGGGCGCCTGGGGGTCCTGAGCTGCAGCTGATGGAAAGAGGAGGGGGAGCCAGGGAGGGACCAGGCAGAGGGAGAGGTGGGGAGGGTGGGGGGCACACAGGGAGATGACGGGGGGGCACAAGAGACAGAAAGGAACCGACTCAGAAATGACAGTTCAGGTGACCGTCTGTCTCCATTGCAGGTGAGGAGCGGTCTCAGGTCTACGCAGGTGAGTGAGTCTGATGCTCTCCGGTTTCCTGGCACTTCTGTGTGAAGTAATTAAACCATTTCTCTGCTGGGTGAGAGGTCACCCCATCCAGCTCAGAGGCTCATTCTCTGTGTCTGCACCACCCCCTCCTGTCTGGTCACTCAGAGAGGACCACACACAGTGTCCCCTCACCCTGCTGACACCCATGCCCACACCGGCACAGCCTGGTCGTGTCCCCACGGCCCCAGCGTGATGGGGGGAAGCCCAGCACTGGGAGAGGGTTCAGCCTGGCCCGCAGAGCTGCAGATGAGGGGAGTGGACGTTGGAGGGGACTGAGGAGAGGAGAGAGAAGAGGCTCAGTGAGGACAGTGGGTGGGGGGACAGAAAGAGTGACCTTTCCTTGTCTGTGTCTCCTTCCTTCCAGAGTGGAAGATGGCCCTCTTCCAGCCTGGTGAGTGGGTCCCCTGTGTCCCCAGGACAACCCCCGAGGGCCCCTGCTCCCTCTTTCCTCTCCAGCTCTTGACTGGGACAGTTCTGGTGGGTGACCTGAGGTCCTGGTCTCAAAGGTGTGCCCACCTGCTGCCCAGGGACCAGGGACCAGGGAGAGCAGGTGCCCTGGGGCCCACAGGTCTCTGTGGGAGGAAGAGGCAGGAGGGAGGGGCTGGAGGGAGGGGCTGCAGGGAGAGGGAGGGGGCGACCTGACCAAGCTCCTGCCCTCCTGCCCCCGTGTGTCCCCGAGTTCTGCCGTGTCCCACAGTCACTGCTGCTCTGTGAGGGCTGGGACAAGGACCGAGTGAGGAGGTGACTGTGTGTTGTCAGAACACCCACAGGAAACAGACGGCCTGTTTGAAGGGGGTGTTTGTCTGACGGTAATGACCACGGTGAGGCGAAGGTGTCTTAAGACCTAAAACCGATGGGTCGTTCCGCAGGGACAGATGTGGGGGAACAAGTCAGGTGAAGGGAGTGACATGGGGACAGGGTCCCAGCTGTGGAGTCACTGGAGGTGGGGCCCGTGCTCGTGCGCTACCTGCAGCGTGGACGGCGTCAGAGGGGATCCGGGCCTTCAGAGGAGGCGGTCAGGCACAGGCGGGAAATGCTATGAATGTGCTTTGGGAAGATTATTCTAGAAGAAATGCACGCAGTGGTCCAGTCTATGGGGCATCGGAGAATGTTTGGGTCTAGCAGGGTGCGGGACCCAACCAGGCAGAGGAGGGGGCCTTGTTCGCTGCCATCGTCCTGCGGGCCCTGCAGAGCCACCTCCCGCATGAAGGAGGGGGCCCTGCCTCTCACCCAGGGTCCCCGCGTCTCTCGGCCCCCAGTTTCTGAGACACAAGGTCTCCCTGTAACAGCTGTGCAGCTGCTGTTTGCCTCTACCTTTTACCACACGCCCCCCTCCCCCTGCCCCCACGTCCAGCTCCGCCCTGTGCACCGCTCCCCACCCCGCATCTCTCTCCTTCCCTCCACAGGCCCAGCGACCTGAAGGCCACTCCTTGGCTTTGGAACCTGCGTTCCCCTCAGCAACGGCGCGCGCCTCACCTCCGCGCACCCAGATGCCCGCAAGGTGCGCGTACAGGCGTCTGCCTTTGTAGTTAGCAACGACGCCACAGTACGCAGGCAATTGCACGACTGTGCAAAAGAGAAATGCATTGCCTCTGAGAAGAGGAAAGGAAACTAAAATACCAGATGATCTCAAAAGGCAATATTCCCGGTTGTGCCAGTTTAACGCCTATGCATGAGCTCTGTATTTTACCTAGCAACTGGTGAGGATTGGACACTCCGGGATGCCATTGGCTGGATGGCCCGCAGCCGACCAATCCTGAACCCGGAACGGCCACTGGAAATCTTGGGACTCTGGTCACAGAAGGCACAGGCCCCCAGCATCACACGGGCACTGTTGGGAGAGGAGGGCAATTTCCTTCGTGTTCTGCACCATTGGGTGTGCAGGTGTGACTGTACCCACGGGCCGGTTAGGGAAGGACAACTGGACAACCGGAGGTCGGCGTCTGAGCATCGTTGGAGGAGAGGAGACGCCGGAGTGAACCCGGGCAGGTGGGGCAGGAGGGGCGCTGCGCTGTGAGCTCAGGGTGGGGGCGGACGGGACCCGGTGCGGACAGCGGGGCGGGTCCGGGAGAGGGGCTTCCGAGGGGCTCCGCACCTGACCTCCTCACCTGGGGTCGCAGAGGGGTGCCGGGGGGAGGAGGAGGAGGAGGGTGCGGAAAGATATCGGGTGACAGCAGCAGAGCCTGAGTTCTGACCCCAGGAGCTAGCGGAGCGGCGCGGGTGGTCGTTCTTTGGCTTATTCCAGGGGACGACGAGCGGGAGTCAGTCTGCGGGGAGACGCCTGGACCCGAGGAGGAAGGGGGTGCCCAGGACACAGGCGGCGCTATTACAGCAGCAACCTGTGTCACGGGCACATTCACCCGGGTCAGGGCCGTGGCGCCAAGCCCCCCTGCGATTCTCCACGTCCGTGCCCCCAGGCCTGCGGTCCGTCCCCCAGCCCCCACCCGGCGGCTGGTCCTTGGTGCTATGGAGCCGCCTGCTGCCCTGCACGTCCCCCTGCCTGGCCCGCTGCTCGTCCTCCCCATCCTCGGCTTGTCTGCCCTGGTCTCAGGTAGGGGGCGTCCCGGCTCCTGCGGACTCAGAAAGAAAGCTGCACACCCCTCCGTGCGTGGTGCTCTCTCCTCCCTCATTCCTCACAAGTTGGCTCAGATCAAAACAGCCTCACCCAACACACAGGCAGATGACCCCAAATAACCGAAACAGCATTGTGCAAACTTTTCATTAATGTCAGCTTTAATGAGGCATTGAACACTCTTTTATTCCAAAGTTTCCCGCTGTCTCTGTGTGTGTCTCACCTGGACCACAGGTGCCCCGTGGGGACGAGCTGGTGGCTGCCTGTTGGACAGCTCCAGGCTGAGCTGCGCTCCAGGCACCCAGTTGGCCTGGGGAAGGGGAGGAAACCTCTGGGCGCCCGGGGTCTGCAGGGGCTCAGGGTCTGCTGCTCTGTGCGCTGTTCCCGAGGTGCTGGCAGCCTCAGTGGATCCCTACCAGGCATCTCTTGCTCTGACCGGCTACAGCCCGGCCCCCCACACTCCACAATCCTCAGCCCAGGACCTCCGGCCTGTCCCCTGGAATGGCCACTTCCTTTCCTGCCTTAGGTGTGGGCCGGCGGAGTGCCTGCCTGATTCTGCCACTTTGTTGAACAGCCCAGTTTATGGTCGTGGGTCCGGCTGAGCCCATCCTGGCCCTGGTGGGAGAAGACACCGAGTTAGGCTGCCACCTGTCCCCTGAGAAAAGTGCCGAGGACATGGAGGTGCGCTGGTTCCGGTCCCGGTTCTCGCCCGCCGTGCTGCTGTACCAGGGCCATCGCGAGAGGACAGAGCAGCAGATGCGGCAGTACCGAGGACGGACAACCTTCGTGAGCGAAGACATTCGCAAGGGGAGGGTGGCCCTGGTCATTCACAACGTCACAGCCCGTGACAACGGCACCTACCGCTGTTACTTCCAACAAGGCAGGTCCTACGACGAGGCCATCGTGCGCCTGGTGGTGGCAGGTGAGACATTACTCTTTGTTTGGTGGCTTTTTCACAGTGTGACGCTTGGGGATCGTTTCTTTCTGAATACAGGTCCCTCACAGTTTAACAGATGTTTGTCTAGGACCCCTCTACCCTGGCAGGGGGCTTCCTCCTGCCTGAGGGCCGAGTGAGGGGGTGTGTCCTGCTGAGCCGTGGGCATTGGGTCTTGAGAAGCACAGGGAGCTCAGCGGGGCTGTGAGCAGGGGAGAAGGTGGAACCCCACGGAGTAGCCCCTGCTGCTGCCCAGAGATCTCCAAGGGTCCTCGCCAGGAACATGCTTTGGAATGAGACACTTTAGACTATTTGTCTGTTCCCAGGTGTAGGGTCCAAGCCCCTCATTGAGATGAAGGGCCAGGAGGATTGGGGTGTCTGGCTGGAGTGCACCTCCACAGGGTGGTACCCAGAGCCCCGAGCAGTGTGGAGGGACCCCTATGGTGAGCTCATGCCCGCCCTGGAGGAAGCTTACACCGAGGACACAGACGGCCTCTACAGGGTCACCATGACCGTGATTATCGAGGACAGCTCTGTGAGGAATGCATCCTGTTCAGTCAACAACACCCTGCTGGGCCATGAGAGGGACTCTGTGATCTTCATCCCAGGTGAGTTCCTGCCCTCTGGGGGGGCTATTCCTTGGAGGTAGGGTCCTCAGCAGACAGTTGGGAGCCTGAGTGGGGCTGGGGGAGGGGCGGGGCTGGGAGGGTCCTGGGCCCTGAGGAGCTCAGGCTGCAGCTGAGCTGACCCTCTCCCCTCCTCACAGGGGGCATCACAGAGTCTCCCATCCCAGGAGGGGAGCCCCCCCCCCAGAGATTTGGGGTGAAAGAAAGGGGTGCAGAGGCAGAAAAGGGCATGACTGTCTGGGGGTTGGGGTGTCCTGGTGAGGCAGCTGCTCCTGTGTGTGGGGGCAGGTGAGTGGCTGAGCTGGTGGGAGGGTTGTCCTGGGCGTCTGTCAGTTTCCTTGACAACGGGGTGTTTCCAGTGCGCCCAGCAGACGTCAGCGTGGGTGTGTTGTGTGGGCCACAGGGGCGGCCTCTGCTCTGTGGGTCCTCGTGTGTGAGTTGTCTGCACCAGCCCCAGCCGCGGCCCCCACTGTGGTTCCTGGGAGGGAAGAGGACAGAGCGGGGACCTGAGCGAGCTGCTCAGAGGTGCACCCAGGGGTGCTCTCACCTGGGTCTCCCTGGTCTCACTGACTGGGACTTTTCTAGTCTTCGTTCCAGAAGAAGTCTTCATCCCCAGCCCCCCTGCCTGGACGGTGGCCCTGGTGGTCCTCCTGCCGGCGCTGCTGTTCTTCACCACTGTCGGGGTCATCGGCCTCTGCTCGAAACTCCACAAGGAGAAAGAAACTCTGTCACTGCAAGAGGATTTTGAAGATAAAGAGGAAGACACTGCAAGGAAAGAGCTGGGTAAGGCCCATGTGGGAAAAGAGGAGGAAGGTCTAACGAGAGGAAAAAGAACAGGAGGGTAGTTGTTGTCTTTCCAAGGCACAGCTCGGAGCTGGGGCCTGGGGGACAGAGGGCAGAGGAGACAGCAGTCTGGCTTGCAGTTCTATGTCCCAGTCACGGAGTCCTCCAGCTTGCCTTCACCCCTCAAACGTGGCGTCCACTCACCCGGGACAGAGAGCACTGGACTGCTGGGAGAGAGCCAACCCCCCCACAGGCACTGCCACCAGCCAGGCCCCTGGTCCTGCATCTGGACGGGTCCCTGCACGTCGGGGAGGGGACGGTGACTTCACAGGGAGGTCTTGGCCTTCGTGTCACACAGACTCAAAGTCACAATTCTCTGCGGGGGACACTCCTTTGTTTCTGTTCGTGTTTCAGAGCAACTTCAGGAAGAATTGCGTAAGTGCAGTGTTTCCCTAATGAACCCACGCACGATGTCTACTCCGTGGGTCACTGTGTCTCCTGCAGCTGACTCCCTGTCTGTCCCGCACAGGGTGGAGAAGAGGCCTCCTGCACGCTGGTGAGTGTCTCTGACCTTCCCTCACGTCCTGAGCGCCGTCCCCACTAGCCAGCCAGGGGGGCGCAGGAGCCGGGAGGGACAAGCAGCCGCAGTGCCTGGGGCAGGGAAGGGGCCAGGTCACTGGCTGCATCTTGCCCAGCGTGAGGATCCCAGGTCTCCCCACAGGGACTTCCCAGGGCTCTTGTTCAAGTCTCGGCTCCCTTAGCCACCCCTGACCCCACATTTAAAAGAAACACAATTTCACCCATGATCATCTGGTCATGCACACAGACGGAACTTCCCCAAAGCCCACGGTTCCCCCTCTGCTGCTGTTGGGTCCTGGATTAGCCTCAGAGAGGACACTGCACAGCCAGGTGTGACCTGGGAGAAGGCGTAGAGCACAGGGAGGAGACCTGGGGGACGGGAGTGAGCTGCCCCCAGCCCGGCTCAGGGCTGGACACACCGGGGCCACAGATGCCTGCCTGCCCCAGGAGGGCCCTGATGCTGGCCGTGGGCAGCCTGCGGGGCGAGGACAGGGTCAGGCCAGCGGGGCCACAGCATCCCCTCCCTCCGCTGAGGAGCAACCAGCACTGGGCCCGTCCTCTCCTGCTCAAGGCAGCCAGCCCCCAGGTTTCCCCAGACACCACGGTGCTCGCCCCTCCCACTCCAGGTGAGCTTCAGCATCGTCACCGTCGCACACAGCGAGGTGAGGAAAGGAGAAACTCCTACCCCCCCCAGTGGACGTGCAGGTGGCTCAGTGACAGCGCCTGCGGAGGGGCAGGTCTGCAGGACGCCGGGGTCTGGAGCGTCCCCTGTGCCCAGAGTGGGGCTTCAGACCAGGTGCTAAAGCAAAGCTGCACAGAAACACTTCCCCACCTGTTCCCAGACGCACCTCTCAGGTGGCCCATTGACTTTGAGGGACATTGTCCCTTTTCACCCTCAGCAGAGACCCTTGTCAGTCATTTAGGTCAAGTGTCACCTGCAGAAACTGGTGGAACACGGAGGACCAGTAAAGGGACCCGCTACGCCCAGCACCTGTGTCAGGAGAAGCTGGCCTGAATGCTTTACCAGGAGAGGGGAGGGACAGGGTCTCTGGAGTTTGAGGCCCATCTGGCAAGTTTCCAACTGAAAAGATTACATGTCACGTAGAGGAAAATGTGCAAATCCGAAACTGTGGAGAGAAAGTAGGAGACAGTAACTTCAGCCCCTTTGCTAAACTCTCTGCTCACTCAGTGCCCAGGTGTGCTCTCCCTGAGGCCCCGCCCCTCACTCAGCAGGTGGACATGCAGCCTCAGGGGTTCTCCTCTGTGAGCTGCCTGGGGTCTGCGGCCTCCATGAGGCCCCACCCTGTGGGTTTGTTCCCCCGGCTTCCCGGGTCCCCCTGAGCGCCCAGGCCTCACCCCCAGACTTCCCGTGCAGCTGACGTGCTCCTGGACCCAGACACCGCCCACCCCGAGCTCTTCCTGTCCCAGGACCAGAGGAGCGTGTGGCGGGGCCCCTCCAGGCAGATCCTGCCCGACAACCCCGAGAGATTCGACTGCCGGCCATGTGTCTTGGGTGTGCAGAGTTTCTCCTCGGGGAGACACTACTGGGAGGTAGAGGTAGGAAATGTGATGGTGTGGGCCGTGGGGGTCTGTGCAGACCGTGTGCAGAGGAAGGGGGAGGCCCTGCTGGTCCCTCACAATGGCTTCTGGACCCTGGAGCTGTTTGGAAACCAGTGCCGGGTCCTGTCCTCTCCGGAGAAGATCATTCCCCTGAAGGAGCGCCTTCGCCGGGTGGCCGTCTTCCTGGACTACGAATGTGGAGATGTCTCCTTCTACAACATGAGGGATCGGTCCCACATCTACACGTGTCCCCGCTCCCACTTCTCTGGGCCCCTGAGGCCCTTCCTCAGGCTGGGCTCTGATGACAGCCCCCTCTCCCTCTGCCCAGCATTCACGGGGGCCCAGGGGGTGACTGTGCCTGAGGGTGGCCTGGTTCTCCATGGAGCAGGGACCCACCGCAGCCATCAAGGCCAGCGCCCTGGTCTGAGAGCTCAGTAGAGAAGCCCCTGCCGTCTCTGCTCACACAGCACAGCACCCAGAGGACTCGGCCCCTCCCTCTGGGCACACCAGAGAACCTGCCCCACAGGCCCTGGACCCCTCCTCAGTCCCAGCCCATCCCCCACTCAGCCTGTTGCTCTAGCAGCTGGTGCGCTTGTCCCCACGGGGCAGGGGCCAGTCTCAGGGGAGCCAGTGCTTCCATGTGGCTCCCAACCAAGCACAGTGTGGGACAGTGACAGGCTGACAGACTGCTGCTCTGACATCACGGTGACCTGTCAGCATGGGACCTGAGGTGACACCAGACACTGTGGACTCGGGGTGAGGACAGCAGGATGCACCAGGGCCTGAGGAGTGAGGAGCCACCACTGGAGGTCAGAGGTGGAGGAAGGGGGACCGAGAGCTGGGGGGGCCCAAGTTGTTGGTGTGGTGGCCTTCCTATGACAGCCAGGGGTACAGCACCAGAAGGGCCATCCCCACTGTGCCCCAGAGTTCCATCCCTCGCAGCAGAGCTCCAGGTGCAGATGGATGACAGGCAAGGACAGAAGGATAATGGACAAGGACACACCTGGATCTGACCTGGCTCAGGAGTCCCTGCAGTAAATCCTCTTGGTCAGTGGGGACGGCCCCAGGTTTAAGGTCCTGGCTGAGCAGGGGAGTGTGAACCACGTTCATTCAAGGTCAGGGTCAGTGGGGAGGCCAGCAGTTTGCAGCTTCTTGTTCTCAGGATGCATTAAAAAACTTGAGAATTACTGAGCACCCTGAAGAGGTTTTGCTCATTTCACTCACATCTGACAGTATTTACTATATTGGACTGAAAAAGCTTTGAAGACATATTTATTAATATATATTTAAATTGTAGTGATTAACTGATCACATGCTAATGTAAATAACATGTTTTGTGAAAAATAACTTTTTTGAGAAGCAAAATTAATGCTGTGCCATTGTTCAGTTTGTTACGTCTGGCTTAACAGAAGCCTGGATGCTCGTGTCTGTTGACGTGGGAACGTGGAATCCTGCAGAGAGTTTTCATGAGAGTTAATCTGAGGCCGACTGCCATCGTGGTGGGGGGAGGACCTGACCGCTCTGGGGAAGGACAGGTGGGCAGCTTCTCTCTGCGAGTGCACTGAGGGGGCGGGGAGGGGGCCGGGGAGGAGGGAGGGAGGAGAGGGACCAAGATCCCGAGCTCCTTGGAGGGTGGCCACTCTCCCAGGGGCTGAGGAACAGGGTGACCTCTGGCCCCTCAAACGCAGGTTAATCCAGGGGCCCGAGGACAGTGGACAGGGTTTGCTGAAGGTGAAGGAAACCTCTTATTGAAGACGTGTCAGCCTGGGGCCTGACTCCCACCCTGACCTGCCCAGTGAGGGATGTGTGGTCAGATCACCCCGTGAGGTCACGGAGGTCACTGATCTGTTCCAGAACCTTCTTCACTTGCAGCACCAGAGCCTTGAGAGTAAAACAGAGTGAGAGGCATCTTAAAATTCAAACTAAAGATAAATAGATAATGTCTGGTTTTATTTTCTGCAGGGGAATTTACTGTGTGAGAATTCCCTTCTTCCTTATTTTGTCACGGCCTGTCCCTTTTCATTATCAACCCACCACGTCCAGGGACTGTCCCTGTGTGTCCTATCTGTTGCTTCCCTGGAAGCCCTCACCTCCAACCCTGGTCTTCCTCTGACCTGAGTCAGAGCTCCCCCAGTGAGAGCAGCCTCTTTTCCAGGAGCAGTTTGTGAAACCAGTTGGTGGCAATGATTTAACTTGCATCCGCCTGAGATGGTTGGTGCTCACCAGTTGGAGGGAGAGAAAGGCTCACCCCTGCTTTGAACAGCCACTCAGGGCAACCCTGAGCCTTTGTTCCAACCTCCCCCTCCCCACCAGCACCCTCTGGTGTGGCTGCAGCTGCCCCAGCCTCTCTGCCTCCCCAGCAGTTACTCTGTCTGCAGGGCATGCAGCCTAGAAAGTTGGGATTTTCCCCCATTGTTCTACAAACACGGATATGAAACCCCTCTTCCTGCAGGATGGCACAGCCTCAGTTGTATGCAGGGGGGTGTCTCCTCACCTCCCTGGGACTCTGAGCTCCCACCACTCAAGGGTTCAGAGCCTCGGGATGCACAGAAGTGGACACAGTGAGGGTATCTTTCTGGTGAGGAGGGAGAGGAGAGATGGTGGTGAATTGTCTTCTTCTCCTCAGGAGACCAGCAGGGCTCTTTGACTGTGTCCCTGAGATTGGCTGACCTATTATTTCTCCTTCCAGAAGTTCCTTGAAGGCTCACTAATCTATTGCTGATAATTATACATAGGGTGGTGTGTGAGGAGGGAGGGGAGATGGTGTAGAAACCAGGGGCTGGTGACCCAGACAGCGACCCGCAGTGTCCACGGTGTTATGGATGAGATAAGATACATTGACATGGACTGCCAAGTCCCGTGGAGGAAAAGGGATGGCATGGCTACTCTCTCAAGGGGAGAGCGCCCCAAGCCCTTGCCTAGACAGGCTTTTATTGGGTTTCATTTGCACAGCAATACAGTAGGGATTATTAATTATTAATCATTGTCAGACAGTAAGGATCCAATGATAGATAGCTTACAAAGAACTCTGAGGGCCTGTTCTGAGTCAGGGTTTGTTAGCTAAAGGGCTACAAAGCTTTGGGGAACAAACTCACTTCCTGCTTGGACCCTTCTCATTTAATTGAGAGCATTCTTAGTGAAGCAGGTTTCACAGCAGTTTATGTATTCTCTCTTAGGCCTGATCACCCAGGGAGCCCGTCTTTTCCAACACAGAGCTGCACCACCCTCTGTCATTGTTTCAGGCTTAAGTCAGGCAGAGGAGGCAAGACAGCCAAGAGATTAGGAGACTTCTTGCAGGCAGAATGAGGACTCAGGCTTTGTCAAAGAAGAGGGGCCAGGGTCCATCACCCCCTTTCTCCATAGCCACCCCCAGTCCTTCCCTGGAGCCTCCATGTGATTGTGCCTGTCTTAGGTCGTTCCCTCCTTGGGGAATCTTACCCATCATTGGCTAACTGATCAAGCACTGAGGGCCAGTTATAGATGAAGTAAAAGGAGCAGAAGCGGTGCTTGTGCCAGGGAGATAAGCTTTGTCTCCTTAATGGCTTATGGTCCGAAGGTTGCTCACTCAGCCTTAGTCATGGGGGGGGGGCGGGGGTTATACCTCCTGAAACCAGGCAGGGTGGCTCCCAACAGGCTGCAGATGGAGACCAGTGTGTAGGCAAAATAGGTCTTCCCAGGAGACTGAGGACCCCTAGCATTGTGTCTCATATCTTTGGAGAAAAAGAGATGCCTCTGACTCATGTTCACTGCCTCTCAGTCTCTCCATCCTCTCCTCCTTCCTCCCTCTCTCTCTCTCTCTCTCTCTCTCTCTCTCTCTCTCTCTCTTTCTGTCTCCCTCTCTCTCTGTCTCACACACAGATCCACATACACCCCCCTCACCTGAAGGTGTTCCTCCCAGGAGATCCTGTGCAGTGAGGACCAGGATTGTGGGTAACTCCTTCTGGTTCACGTGATGAATCAGGATGAGTGGGGGGCACAGAGAGAGCTTCATTCTCCCCTGGGATTACATCAGCTCCAGTTTGGGGCAGACCAGGTGCTTTCACAACAGCTGATCAGCCCTGGCAGGTGAGGCTCAGTTGATTGGAGCATCATCCCCACACACCAAAAGGTTCGGGGGTGACTCCTGGTCAGGGTACCTCCCTAGTTGAGGGTCTGATCCTCCTTTGGGTACTTATAGGGGGCATCCAATCAATGTTTCTGTCTCACATGGATAGTTCCCTCTCTCTCCTCCATCCTCCCTCTTAACAATCAATAAAGATATTTTTCAAAAAACCTAATAGAGACAGTCAACTTCCCAGGATATCACGGATTTTCAGTGGGTCCACCCCCTAGTTACACTGACAAGCCTCTCTGCTCAGTCACCTCTCCCTGCTCCCTGCAACACTCTGGTGCAGGAGGGGCTGGAGAGGTGCTGGTTCCCTTGCAGGAGCAACGCTGTGCTCTCCGGGGGTGAAACTGTGGCTTCCCGGTGAGGGAAACAGGTGTATAATCCCCAGTTTAATAAGTGGACTGTCTAATTTCCTTCTCTCATTCTTATTAACAACTAGTGAACTACCCACAGTAACTCCGTGTGGTTACTTTCAGTCTCTGAGGTTCTCAGTTTCACCGTGCAGCCTCCCCTGTGCTTGTCAGGGGTAGAAAGTGGCCCCTTTGTTGTCCACAATGGGTACCAATAAACTACAAGGAAATTCCTGTCTTTGGACTAGGGACCTGGAACTGCTTCTTCTTCTTCCTTTTGTTTTTTTCGTTTGTTTTGATTTAAGGGCTGGACATTGCAGATTTTTGGCTTTGAGGACCACGTGGTAACTGCCAAAATCCCTCTTGTGACCCAGTCCTCGATGACTGTGTTGCCCTGAGTTTCAGCCCTCGTCTCCCGATGTAAAAGGATTCGGACCAGGGACACTGATGGAAGCAAAGGCAGGTTCACTGAGACTCTGCAGAGGATGAGGACCCTGAGCTGGGGTCTCGGGGTCCGTGCCCCACGTGTGGGGTGAGGGGTTTTCACTTTTGGGGAACAGAAGTGCTGGGGTTAACAAATCCAGGTGGAGGCTGGCCAGCTGTTTCCTTTTTAGGAACACTGGGCTCTGACTGAATTCTGGGTACGTGTCAATAAAGCAGGGCATTCTGGGATTGTGTAAGACTTATTATGGGATGCAGAAATGAGCTATACCAGCCAGGTACTGAGTTTGTGGCTGGGTTTGTGGCTGGACTTTAGATCTGGAAACAAACATAAAAGACATCGGGGTCGTTGCTGGACCCTGGTTACAGCTGTCCATTGGTGGTGCTGCAGCTCCGGCAGGGCCGGACCCAGGGAGCACTTTGTGGGAACGTAGTATTCCTCCTGGTTCAAGTGGGTTGGCTGCATCCCGGTGAAACCTGGTCTGTGGGGGCTGACATTTCCATGTCCTGTAGCTGTGACTTGTCCCCAAACAGTCTGTGCATCCCCCCGTGTCCAGTGGAGAGAATATGACTGGAAGGAGGGTGACAGAGTGCCACCGCATCCCAACCTCAGTGCTCTTGTTAACTGAGGAGAGTCTGCATTGTTCTCCCCACTAACAGGGTCCGACACCCCAGGGTGTGGTTGGAGAGCTGACACCCTCTGCAGGTCAGGCCCATTCCCCCACCCCCGCCATCCTCAGGAACCTGGGTCCTGTCTCTCCCTCTCACTGAGGTGAGAAAGGTCAGATGACGGGGTGAGAAGAGGAGAGAGGTGCAGCAGGAGTCCTGTAGCCTTGGGTGCGGGGATGGAGGGACCCGTGGAGCTGGCCCGATGGGACCTGTAGCGTGGAGTCCAGCGGCATCAGCCCGGCCCAGGTGAGACCGCTGGGCCAGCTGCACCCAGTGGGCTGCAGACTGACGGCAGGGAAAGAAGATGTCCCTGTAGTCCCCTGAGATGCTGGGCATTTGCTTTAAAGCACGATTGCAACAGTGTCTCTGGAGGCCCCAGGCCACAGGTGGACCCTGCTGGTCCCCAAGTCCCCTGACAGACACACTCACACCCTCTCCCATCCAACCACAGAGAACACAGACCCTGCAGCAGACAGAAGTGAGCACACCTGGAAACCCACGTGCAGCTCAGATGAGGGGCAGAGGGTGGATGGACCTTCTCAGCAACGCCCCCATGAACCTTCCCTGGAAAACCTGGAACCTGCCCATCGGCCCCTGACAGCACCGCCCGTGGGAACCTGAACACGGTGTTGCCTGGGAGTGGATCTGAGACCTGAGTGTCACAGGGGCCAGGACAGGTGGGGGGGCCTGCCCTCTCTCTGTCACACCTGCACTGGGCTCTGCTGTCAAAGACGTTAGCCAATGACCACAGTGACCCTGTAACTCCTGCACCTTCCTCTGCTCACACACTGTCCTCTGCTGCTCTGTCCTGGTTCCTCTGCTGAACACACTGTGACACAAGTGACATGCAACAGGTGTGTACAGTGAGGTACTGCTCACACCCACCCACACCCAGGACTGATTCACGCAGGTGACCACACTGAGAGAGATAGAGGGTGGGAGTCAGGGCTGGAGCTGGTCTGCACTGCCCCATCCAACATGGGGGTCAATGTCCATGCCAACCTTGCTCGCTGGTTTCGACCCAGCAACTGATGAGACACAAGGCTATAAGCCAATCAGAGAACAGGTGTTTTCAAATAGAGACTTTGCCCTGTTTCCCTTGGTGAGCACCCTTTCTCCTTCCCCACCCTTTCTATCAGATCACAGACTCACCTATAATAAAGAGCACTGGAGTACCTTTGCTGTGTGACTTTCAGTTGAGAGTTCAAGGGTTAATTACGGGGAAATGGTGAAGGCCGTCATTGCAGGCCTCCTTAGGAAAGAGGCTGAGGAGCTGGAGGAGCCTGCAGGGTGTCCCTCACCCAGAGAAGGAGTGTGGGGCTGTGAGCCTGCAGGTGAGGGCACAGGGGAGCGTGGAGCAGGGCAGGTAAGGTCTGCACTGGGACACCTGTGGGAGGGAGACAACGGGAACCAGGGAGCTGGACACCTGCCCGTCCCTTGGAACTTCCTGTGGTCAGAGAGGGGCAGGGCCCCTCACAGTCTCTCCTGCTCGTCTCTGGGAACATGTTCTAGGAGATTCTAGGAGAGAGGCTGACACCAAACCCAGGTTTGGCTGTCTGGTGGTAGAAAGCCAATAACTGAGAGACAGGGACTGGTGGGAGGAAAGTAGGTCCATTCAAGGGCCCGCAGCTGGAGAAGACGGGGGTCCCTCCTGAAAAAGACCATTTGATCAATGGACACAGGCAGGGGTTTTGGGAAGGAGGGACAGGGAAGGAAACAAAATCACAAAAAAGACACGGAAAGGAGGGTTTTGAGAGTTCTGTGTCGAGGGGACTATGTGTAAACAACACAGTCTGTTCAGGTGACTGGTCGAGGTCAGCAAACCTCCCAGAGCTGAATGTCTGAGGGTGGACTGAGCTCCTTCTGAAGTTAGTGTCCAGAGTTCGTAAGCAAAATGGCTGTTTATCTGAGTTACAGATACGTTAGCAGGTCATCATTTACAGAAATAATGGTTAAAGAACAACTGGGTTTCCAGGTGTGTGTCTGAAAGTTTTATTGTAAAACCCTGGCCAGTGTGGCTTAGTTGGTTGGAGCATCGTCCCACACACCAAAAGGCTGGGGGTTCAGTTACTGGTCAGGAAAGGAACCTAGATCTTGGGTTACAACTATGGGTTGGGTGCCTATGAGAGGCAACCAATTGATGTTTCTCTCTCCCCCCCACTCTTTCTCTATTCATCTCCTACATTCTCTCCCTCTTCCTGTCTCTGTCAAAAAGCATTGAATAAAAATGCCTTCAGGTGAGGATTAGAAAAGAGAGATTTATATGTAAATAGGTTGATTACAAAATTACTTGTAAAATAGAAAAATTTGAACCCCCCACATACAGGACAGTTGGAGAAAGAATCCACACATGCTGTCTGACCACAGAGGGGGTTCCAGTCCGTGTGTCTGTAGTGACTCTTTGGAAAACTGTCTATTCAGGTCCACTGCTCATTTTCTAAACCGGATTGTTCGTTTTTATTGGTGTTTAGTTCTATGAGTTCTGTATACATGTTGCATATGAAGTGCTTTTTTAGAAAGTAGGTCTAATTACTATCTGCATTTTATTTTATTTATTTATTTCAAGTATCCATTTACTTATTTGTAGAGAGAGGGGAGAAGGAGGGAGAAAGAGAAGGAGAGAGACACTGAAGTTCAGGAAAAACATCAGCCGGTTTCCTCTCGCAGGGCCCCAGCTGGAACCTGGCCCACAACCCAGGCCTGCGCCCTGACTGGGAATCAAACCGGTGATCTTCTGGATCGCTCAACACACAGAGCCACACCAGCCAGAGTTAAATGCCTTTTTTAAATGCATTATTGGCAAATATCTTCTTCATTTAGTAAATTGTCTTTTCATTTGTTGATGGTTCCCGTGCTGTGCAAACACTTGTTAGTTGGTCATGGTCCCATCTGTCTGTTCGTCCTTCCTTGCCCTCGCCGGAGGAGACTCACCCAAGGGGACGTCACTACGAGCAGAACCACAGAGTCCTCACCGCCTGTGTTTTCTCCTGGTTTTCTGGTCTCAGGTTTTCCTTAAATCTCTGATCCACTTTCCTTTCCTGGCAGGTGGTACAAGAGAGTGACCCAGGTACATTGCTTCTCCTGTGTCTGTCCAGTGTTCCCATGGTTTTGAGAGACTCCCAGCCTCATTGTACGCTCCTCCCTCCGTCGTCACAGACTAACTGAGCACGTGAGTGAGGGCTCCTGTCCGGGCTCTGCCGGGTCCCATTGAACTACAGTCTGTGTTTATGCTGGGGCGTTGCTATAGGACAGAGTGACTCCTCCAACTTCCTTCTTTCTCAAGATTGATTGACTATGTGGGGTCTTTCTGGACCCGTAGCAAGTTTAGGATTAGTCGCCCTACTTCTGAGGAGACGACCCCTGGTGTTTCACAGGCCTTGCTGGAACCTGCGTGCTGCTGTAGCCCTGAGGACACTCTGTGTGTGTGTGTGAACCCTTCCACCCGCGAGCTCGGTGTGTCCTCCCACTGATGTGTGCGCCCTCCAGGTTCCCTCCTCATCGTCTTCCAGTCGGCAGGGCACAGGTCTGTCGTTACATTATTCCTGGGTACCTTATGCTTTTTGATGAAAATGTAAATGGGATTTATAAAGTTTCTCCTTAAGATGAATCATCAGTAGGGTATAGAAGTGCAGCAGGCTTCTGATTTTGTATCTTGCAAAACATGCACGTAATTTTCAAAGTACAGGATGCAAAGGACTCTCCTGCTCTGGATGGAATGGGGGCCCCTGGGAGGGGCTGACCAGCCAGGAGGGGAGGGGTCAGGACGTCCTGGCTGCTGTGCGGAGCACGGCCAGCAGGGGGCAGCAGAGAGATTGGGGACTCAGAGCAGTGGGGCCTGCCTTCCTCAGAGGGTGATGCTGGGGGCGGGCAGCTGGCTGTGGCATGGACTGTGGGTGAGTGGGGGGATTCTGAGCACGTTCGCACAGGAGAGCCCCGCACTCCCTGGCGGAGAGGGTTCAGGTATGTGCACTACCGTTCCGTGTTTCCTGGGTGATTTCCGTGTTGGATCCAAAGTGAAGAGACTCTCCAGGAGACATTTGCAGAGGAGGCTCTCCGGTCAGCAGCCATTGTGGTTGCACCTGAATTGGCCCCTTGGAAGGCCCCGTCTCCATGTGGAATTCCCCACCTTCTCCCAGGTCCTCACTGCCACCCAGCCCCTGCTGGTGTCTCTGCACAGCAGGGAACTATGGTGAGGCGCCTGGTCCCCCGTCTGCCTGCCCTCCCTGTCTGCCTCGCCGTGGTCCAGCTGCTCAGCCCCTGCTCAGGTAGGACCTGCTCTGCGTTCGTGCATCTGAAGCCTTTACCTTGGGGCCCAGTCAGACCCCTGGGCTCCCCCCACCCCTGCAAGGCCCGTCCAGACCACACCTGTGTGAGGACTGAGTTCCTGTCTAGGTGTCCCTCCCCTCGCCCTCCCTGCTGGGGCACCCCCTGGTCCTCTGGCCCCAGCTCCCTCTGACGGAGCCCCCCCTTCTGATGACCAGCTCAGTTTGCTGTGGTTGGACCCCGTGAGCCCATCCTGGCCTTGGTGGGTGAAGACGCTGAGCTGCCCTGTCACCTGTCCCCGAAGATGAGCGCTGAGACCATGGAGCTGATGTGGGTGCGATCCAGCCCCAGGCAGGTAGTGCACACGTACGCACACGGGCAGGAAGTCGTGCCGGCAGCAGAGTATCGAGGGAGAACTTCAATTTTAAGAGAGGATGTCACTGCGGGGAAGGCTGCTCTCTGGATTCGGGACATCAGAACCTCTGACAGCGGAAGCTACCTGTGTTATTTCCAAGATGGAGATTTCTATGCAAAAGCCCAGGTGGAGCTGAAGGTTGCAGGTGAGTCTCAGGTTTGATCTGTGCTTGTTTCCTGTGGGGTCAGGGGCAGGGGCTCCAGGCCCCCCTGAGAGCTCCCCCTGCTCCTCACCAGCACCTGCCCCCCTGCCTCCCTCCCTGCTCCTCTGAGGCCTGAGACGGACCCAGGTCGCCCCTCCAGGAAGGGCTCCTCCTGCATCCAGTAAAGAGTCCCTCATGCCGCCCACCAGGTCTCAGCAGGGAAGAGGAGGTCAGGGTGGGAAGGAGAAGGAGGACACCCCCCCACAGTGGGGGGCACACAGGTGTTTGGGTTCAGCGTGTCCCAGACAGTGGCCGTGGGTCCTCCAGGTGCCCGCTGCTGTGGGTCCAGGGGGCTGAGCTGCAGGGACAACACCTGTGCTGCCCACACCCTCCAACCAAAGGCCCCGGGACACACGTGCAGTTGAACAGGGTGTGTCCATCCCTGGAGCAGTGAGGGGGGACGCACAGGGGAGGAAACCGGGGTGTCTCTGAGAGGGGGTGTCAGGGAGGATCTGGTGTGACCTCTGGGCTGTCAGGGGACTTGGGGGGATGTGGAAGCAAGGCTCTGCTCTGGGCTGGATGCTGTCAGGAAGGTGCAGGGGTGTCATGGGTCAGTCCCAGCCAGGACAGGGGAGGGAGGTCACTGCTGAGGTCTGCACACTGTTCCTGCTTCCTCTGTGCTCAGACCGACTGCTGAGTGGTCTTGACCTTGTCCTGACCCGTCCCAGTGACAGAGTGACCTTGTCTGAGGGGCTGCCCCATGAAAGTGCTCGTGTCCGGGTGTCAGGGCTGCACTTCACCTTCTCAGGACACAGCCCCACCCTGGGCTTCTGCCTGGTGGGTCCCTGGGGAGCCCGGCAGGGGATGGACTGTGGGGGGTCCTGGCTTTGTCCCTGGGGGGCCTCCTGAGCCAGACTCTGTCCCTCCCTGTGGATCACAGGTCCTTTGAGAGAGTCCTCCCCACAGGACTCTGTCCTCTCAGGTCTGTAAGGGGCTTCCCCCTGCTCCCCTTGTGTTTAGGGATTCAGTGTCAGGTAGAAAAACCCCACAGTTCCTGCCTGGGTCAGCGCTCTTCTGTGAAGTGTTCCCCTCTCCACAGTCAGGTGACAGAAACCTCCCACGGTGGAGGGGCCCCAAAGAGGCTGACACCTGCAGCATTAATTGCATCAGAGTTTCATATGGGGATACACATGTAACACACCTGGAGCAGCAATACAAGTGCACATCTTTCCCACCACACAGCAGGGCAGAGGCTCACACAGGACAGGTGTGAAGGATAGGGGCCCTGGGGTGGGACCTGCTTCAAATAAGGGGGAATTTACCTGCTTGCCCAGGGTGGAATGAGGGGCTATTCCTGGAACCAGCATGTTTGGGACATGGGGGACGGGAGGGCCTAGAAGTTTCTAAAGGGATTTAGAGGAAGCAATGTGTGCTCTGGCCCAGATCCCCCTGGATCCAGCACCAGGGTCCAGCGATGGTCAGGCAGTGGTCACACTGTGGGTCAGTCTCTCCTGCACAGCACACTCTGGGAGCAGCTCCTGGGGAATCCCTGCTGTGCTCATCCAGGGTGCGTGTGCCCCTCCCTGCTGTGGAGACCCTCACTAGTGCAGAGGGCTCCCCAGGATTCAGACTCACTGTTCCTCCCCAGCACTGGGCTCTGACCCCCACATTGAAATGAAGGGCTACGAGGCTGGAGGGATCCGTCTGGAGTGCACGTCTGCCGGCTGGTACCCGCAGCCCCAGATCCAGTGGAGAGACGCCAGGGGACACAGCTTGTCTGCTGAGGTGGCCACAGAGGCTGCAGACCCCCAGGGCCTTTATGCAGCCTCAGCCTCTGTGATCCTGGGAGGTGGCTCTGGGGAGGGCGTCTCCTGTGTCATCAGAAACCCCTTGCTGGGCCAGAAAAAGTCATCCAGGCTTTCCATCCCAGGTGAGTGCCCTGCCCACTTCCCTGGGTTCCTGGGTGCCCCCTAGGGGAAGGTGTGGTTGTCTGCTGCTGACCTGGGTCTCTGCAGGGAACAGAAGGGACAGAGCAGGGACCTGGTGCTCCTTCCCCATGAAGCTGTTTGTGTCACAGGCACCTTCTGAGCACTTCCTATGGCCACACATGGTGCCAGGGGATGGGAACTGGGGACAAATGGTCAAGGTCAGCAAAGACATGAGAAAACGGGAAAAAATATATACAATGCAAATCTTAGAAAAAGGGCTGATCTCCTTAAACTATAAAACAACCAAGTAGAACACAGCAAACAACAGGAATTATCAGTTCACAGAACAGGAAATGACGCAGGAAAAGGTGTCCGATCACACTGACTAGGGAGGTGATTCCCACCTGTGAGACTGGCAACACAGGAAAAACGAGGTGATGGTGACACATTCTGATGTCGGAATTTGTGGGAGACAGTGACTCTTAGAGGTTTGTGGCTATTGTTTGGTGGGTTTTTGGTGTCAATAAGCACAACTGCCACTGGGGGCACCAGAGCCACCTCATCCAGAGTACTCACTCAGTTATGCAAGACCCACTTCTGGGAAATTATCTGACAGATCAGCTTGCATTTGTGTGAAGTGTCTCATATAAAAGGTTATTTCCTGCACCATTAACTGTAACAACAAAGAGTCAGAGATGGTGCAAGTGCCCCCGAGGGGCCGTGTGTGCAGGGGGCGCTGCCCCGTGAGAGCAGACACAGACCTGCCCCCTGAGCTGAGGTGGGAAGGTCGCCCAGATCCGGGGGAGCAGGGAGAACACATGCAGGACTGCTGGAGTAGAGTGCTGTCTGCGGGGTGAACAAGAAAAAATAAAAAGATATTAATGTTTTTAAAATACAACCAACACTTGCATAACACTCACTAGGTGACAGGCACTGCATAAGCATTAATTTAATCCTCTTACTGAACAGAACACCAGGATCAGATGCTTAAGTCATTAGTTTAAGATCATGGAGATAGTCAGGCAGAACTGGAACCCCAACCCTCTAGTCCCAAAGTTCACAATCTTAATCCCCAGGTTATAGTGACTCAGAAGGAGATAATAAGTGGCAGAGGGAGGAGCAGTGGAGAGATTCCAATGACTTTGTATACATTCTTTTATATTCAAAATATTCCCTTGTGAGAGGCAGTTACTGCAAGACAACGCTGTTACGTGCCAGTGAAAGTTCTGGGCACTTTGGGGAGAGAACGATTGTTCTCAGTCCCCAGATACTCTGAGACCCAGGGTGGCCTTCAGCTGAGGCTCACCCTTCGCAGGCCCCTTCTTCAGGAACGCGCAGCCCTGGGTGGTGGCCCTGGGCGTGACCCTGCCGGCTCTGCTGGGGCTCCTGGCGGGGACGTGGTACTTCCTGTGGCGACAGCAGAAGAAGATCCAGGCCCTGTCCCAGGAGAAGGAGACGGAGCGAGCGGAGAAAGCAGCAGCTCAGGTGGAGAAAGCAGCAGCTCAGGTGGAGAAAGCAGCAGCTCAGGCCAAGGAGCAGCAGGAGCGAGGCGCCAAAGGTGAGGCCCCGCTGCGGGTGGTTACGACCTCCCAGGCCCACCCCGCACCACCCAGGTGGGTCCGCTAATTGATTCCCTTTAAAGGACTTTCTTTTTCTGCTTATTTCCAGAGAAGTTGCAGGACAAGCTCAGTAAGTGGTGATCCCTGGCCCACACGTCCTGGGGTCCCTGCATTACACATGTCACTGACCCCTCACCTTGTTTCCTGCAGGGTGGACTAACATCCCGTATCTACCACGTGAGTACCTGGACCTGCATCTCAGCCTCTCTGCTCCTATATTTCAGTCCCTTCCCTCCCCGCTAACCTCCCAGGGGAAGGAATGAGGACGCTGATGGGGGGACCAGGCAGTGGTCTGTCTCCGGGGAACCGGCTGCCGTCTCTCTCCACCAGGGGGCGCACAAGCAGGACACCATGGGAACCCAGAAAGGAGAGTGGGCAGGGAGGTGACTCTGTGGTTGTCCTTCCCGCCCTGATTGGTTCACAAACTCTGTAGCCCACCGAAAAGAAAGGCAGAAAGGGCAAAAAGTGTCTTAAAAACAGGAGTGGCTGTGTCAGTTGTCACGGACTTACCGTCACTGCTGAAAAAATAGTATCTGAAATTTTCCCATTACGTTAGTCCATTGTTTCCGGAGTGGGCAGGAAATAATGCAGATTGAGGGGAATGAATCCCAGCACACAGGTACACGCGTGTGTACACAGGGCAGCGTGTGCTCAGACACACCCAGGTCCTGGAGAACCTGGTCATCGCTTATATGACAGGGTCACGGTCCAGGTCCTGGAGGGGGTGTCTGACCACAGATAGTCCCAAACCCTGAATACACGAGGTTTTTCCTTTTCATGTGAAGGAAGGTTTCTTGTTGGCAAAACAGCATCACAGCATCACTGTTCTTGCACGTTGGGGTCATTAATAGGTAAAATACGGGTGACTGAACACCAGCGCTGTGACACTGTGATCATCTGTCTGTCACAGAGATGCTCCTCAGTGACTAAGGGGGGGAGGGACCCCCAGGGTGGACGTGCTGGACTCGGGGGGGATTCCTGAGGGGACAGGTCGGAGCAGACAGCAGGGGACCTCATCACAATTCAGAGTGATATGCAATTTAAAACTTATGAGTTGTTTGTTTCTGCAACTTTTATTCACTCTCCCCAACCGTGGTTGACAGAAGGTAACTGAAACTTCAGAAGCTAAAGCAGGGATGAGAGGTGACTGCTGCACAGACACGGACAGGACAGCTGTGCGGTGACCCTGGGACAGCCCGTGCAGGCTGCCTGGGGGTCCTGAGCTGCAGCTGATGGAAAGAGGAGGGGGCGCCGGGGAGGGACCAGGCAGAGGGGGAGGTGGGGGAGGGTGGGGGGGGCACACAGGAAGGTGACAGGGGGCACAAGGGAGAGAAAGGAACCGACTCAGAAAGGACAGTTCAGGTGACTGTCTGTCTCCATTGCAGGTGGGGAGCGGTCTCAGGCCTATGCAGGTGAGTGAGCCTGAGGCTCTCTGGTTTCCCGGCTCCTGTGGGGGAAGCAGGTGCAGCCTTTCCTGCTGGGGGAGGGGCCATCCCATCCAGCTCAGAGGCTCATTCTCTGTGTCTGCACCGCCCCCTCCTGTCTGGTCACTCAGAGAGGACCTTCCAGACCCAGTGTCCCCTCACCCTGCTGACACCCACGCCCACACCCGGCACAGCCTGGTCGTGTCCCCACGGCCCCAGCGTGATGGGGGAAGCCCAGCACTGGGAGAGGGTTCAGCCTGGCCCGCAGAGCTGCAGACAAGGGGAGTGGACGTTGGAGGGGACTGAGGAGAGGAGAGAGAAGAGGGCTCAGTGAGGACAGTGGGGGGGGACACAGAAAGAATGACCTTTCCTTGTCTGTGTCTCCTTCCTTCCAGAGTTGAAGATGGCCCTCTTCCAGCCTGGTGAGTGGGTCCCTCTGTGTCCCCAGGACAACCCCCGAGGGCCCCTGCTCCCTCTTTCCTCTCCAACTCTTTGACTGGGACAGTTTCTGGGTGGGTGACCTGAGGTCAGGGCCTCAAAGGTGTGCCCCACCTGCTGCCCAGAGCCCAGGGACCAGGGACAGCAGCTGTCCTGGGGTCCACAGGTCTCTGTGGGAGGCAGAGGCAGGAGGGGCAGGGCTGGAGGGAGGGGCTGCAGGGAGGGGGAGGGGGTGACCTGACCAAGCTCCTCCCCTCCTGCCCCTGTGTGTCCCCGAGTTCTGCCGTGTCCCACAGTCACTGCTGCTCTGTGAGGGCTGGGACAAGGACCGAGTGAGGTGGTGACTGTGTGTTGTCAGAACACCCACAGGAAACAGACGGCCTGTTTGAAGGGGGTGTTTGTCTGACGGTAATGACCACGGTGAGGAGAAGGTGTCTTAAGACCTAAAACCGATGCAGACAACTCCTCAGACTGTAACAGACTGTGTTGTAGGGTGATTCACTCCCAGGGGTGCAGGGTCAGAGAGGACAGAGGACCCCACAACCTGCACAGATTATTCCCTGACAACACACCCCTTACAGCACTTTCTCACACTGTGACTCGGGCACTGATGACTGACAGGAACAGGGACAAAGAATGCGGGCAGCACCAGCCACACCTCCCGGTGGTCCTGTGACAGGTGACCCTTTATCATCCACACGGTCCCCAGTGTGGAGTTGACCTCGGTGCCCCTGTCACTCTGGCTGTTACTGACAAAAGTGCTCACGGCCGTGTTTAAGGGACATGGATGACCGTCACCTGGAGGCTTTGGTGTGCTGGCTGAGGGCAGTGAGGTGGGTCAAAGGTCACAGCAGGAAGAGGTGAAGGAAATCCCTGGCACAGAGATGGGGTTGGGTGTGTTCACAGTGACAGGTGGGGTGACATTAGGGAAACCAACAAGGACATATGGGGCCCCCGGGCTCCCAGCAGTGGGGGCTGTGACCACCCCTGGGCCGAGGGCAGAGGGACAGGGAGGACTCCTTGGGGCCTGGAGGAGGCAGCTGGGGCTCGAGAGGGGGCTCCTGGGGGAGGAGCTGGGGTGGAGCATCTCCCTGGGGGTCGTGGGGGTCAGCGCTGTGCCCCCTCTCCTCCCTCCTTCCCGTGTCCAGCCTGTGCCTCCCCTTGGCCAAACCCCACAGTAACCAGAGCCCAGGGCCCAGGGGTGCTGTCCATGGAGGACTGAGTCCTGGGCTAGAGGGGGTGGGACAGGTGGGGAGTGGACCCCAGAGCACATGGGGCCCCAGCCTGGCCCCGAGCACAGGAGGGACACGGTGTCTGTTGTCACACCAGGCACTTCCTCTGTGCCCAGCCTGGGGCTCAGTATACCACCCATTTGTCCTATTCCTCCCCAGAGACCAGTGTTTTACCCCCACTTCACAGACAGGAAATTGAACTCGAGATATTCCGTAGCTGGTGTCTGAGGAAAGAGAGACTGTGCAGGAAAGGACGTCCCCCAGCTCAGGGGGCAGAGCCAGGGCTGACGTTTAATCCATGTGACTGTACAGCACAGGTGGACATGGACATTTTGGGGCAGAAACAGGAAAATGGTAGATCCCAGCCCTCCTCACCCTCCCCTTCCTCACCAAACACCAGACCCCTGCAGTGTCTTTGGCACGGGTGAGGGTCACGTCCAGGGTGGGCTGGGGACCCCAGACTGTGGGCTTGGCCTCCTGCCCAGACCCAGGCCTTGAAGGCTGAGACTCTGAGGTCCAGGCACCACGGCTGACCCCACGCCCTCTGACCCCCTGCAGCGGATGTGTTTCTGGATCCAGACACGGCGCACCCCACCCTCCTGGTTTCTGAGGACAAGAGGAGCCTGCAGCACATAGACACATGGCAGAACCTGCCAGAGAACCCCAAGAGATTTCTTTGGAATTACTGTGTGCTGGGCTGTGAGAGCTTCATATCGGGGAGACACTTCTGGGAGGTGGAGGTGGGGGACAGGGCACAGTGGTGTGTCGGGGTGTGCAGGGAGAGTGTGAGGAGGAAAGGTGTCGATAAAATGTCCCCTGAGAATGGATTCTGGACAGTGGGGCTGATTCCTGGGAAGTACCTCTGGGCTCTCACAGACCCACAGACCACACTGACCAATGTGAGCCCCCCTGAGAGGGTCGGGGTTTTCCTGGACTGTGAGCTGGGGGAGGTCTCGTTCTACAATGCCTTCAATGGGTCTCACATCTTCACCTTCCCACACACCTGCTTCTCTGGGCCTCTGAGGCCTGTTTTCTGGGTTTGGACAACTGAGCCCACTCCCTTGACCATTTGCCCAGCACAGAAAGCAGTGAGGAGGTCCCTTGTTCCTGACCCAGGGCCTGACCCTTCCCTGGAGATTCCGGTGGCCCCGTCCTCAGCTGCTGGGAATGGGGACCCTCAGGCTGAAGAATCGTCTCTGCTTCTTGCTGCCCAGCCTGGAGCTGAGGGCCCGTGAACAGCAAACCTCTCAGCGAGAAAACACTAAAAACACTGAGTGACGGGCTTCACTAACATTCAGTTTTTCCTGATGAGAGACAAGGAGAAAAGGGTACAGACTGTGAGTTAACTTTCCAAAGGTGGGTCAGCCGGGTTCAAACAACCAGAGCTGACATCTCTGGTAACTTCACAGGTACTGGGTGCTGTGCTAGCTGCTTCAGGTGAATCTCACTCATTCCCAAAATCCCTGTGAGATGTAGCTTATTTGGATACTGTGGAAACTGAGGCAGGGCCAAGTTCACTGAGGTACATAATTCACACGGAACCTAGTGCTGCTGGGAGATGGCCATCCCCTGCCCCTCCCCCTCCCTCTCGTCTCTCCCTTTGCAGCTGATTGTCCTGTTGGGCAGGGTCATGGGCAGCCCTGAGGGTCCCTCCCAGGGCACCAAGGGTAAAGGTCACTGCAGGTGACTGTGAAGGCCACACCCCACTGGGATCCTTCAAGGTCAACTGTCAGAGCCATGGTCCACCCTTCACTGACGGGCTCTGCAGGACGCCGAGGTCCAGGGGATAAACTCACAGTGACCCCATCACACAGGCTGAGAAGGGACCAGCGGCCACTCTCTGAACCAGCCCGTGACCTGTGGGCACAGAGCAGACCCCCCCTCCCACCTCCCACCTGGAGGTCCTCTGTGAGCAGGACGGTGGGGGGAGGGGACAGACAGACGTCAGTGGAAGTTTCATCACACGGTGGGACCCACGTCCAGGACATGGCGCCCACCGCTGACCACCCACTGAGGTTCCTGTCACCTGTGGGTCCTGGGGAAAGGCCCCTCTTCCTCATCATCATCGTCACTGTGACTGTTCACTGTGTGTTTCCTCGCCCTGCATGTGGGTGTCATGTCACCTGTGCTAAATAAATGTGTCAATAATTGTCACCCTTTGACAGAGTTCTTTCTGGATGTAACCCCATGGATGACTCACCAGGTTCAGAGTTTACCTCCTGGGCACATTGTTTCCCAACTTTATTGGGTTAACTTTCTATTTTTGCTGTAATAGTATAAATTTCATGACCTAATACAACACAAATCTGTTATCTCATAATTCTCTGGGTCAGAATCCAGCACGGCTCTCGCCAGACTGTGTTTAAGGTGTCTGCCGGCTGCTCTTTCTTTTTTGTTTGTTTGTTTGTTTGTTTGTTTGTTGTTTTGGGGGTGACCCAGGGACCAGTCTGCGTTGCTGACTCTGGCTGCTGGCAGAGCTGAGTTCCCTGCAGTGACGGGACCCAGGTGGCCCCTCTTGCTGCTGTCAGAAGAGCTGAGACCCTCCAGGCTGGGAACGTCTGGGGTAGTTCTCGCAGGGACAGATGTGAGGGAACAAGTCAGGTGAAGGGAATGACATGGGGACAGGGTCCCAGGGGTGGAGTCACTGCTGGTGGGGCCCTTGCTCGTGCGCTACCTGCAGTGTCCAGTGGAGACAGTGCCGAGGACGAACAACCTTTGTGAGCAGGGGAGGGTGGCCCTGCTCCTTCACAATGTCACAGCCCAGGACAGCGCCATCCACCACTGTCATTTCCAACCAGCCACATCCTGAGATGAGGCCATCATGTGCCTGATGGGGGCAGGTCCCTTGTTTCTCTTTGGTGACTTTTTCACTGTGTGACCCTTGGGGATCGTTTCTCTCTGCACTTCAGGCCCCCCACAGACCAGCAGATGTTTGTCTAGGATCCCATGTAACCTGGTTGGGGGGCCTCCCCCTGCATGAGGGCTGAGTGAGTGGATCGAGTCCTGAGAAGCACAGTGAGCTCAGTGGGGCCGTGAGCAGGGGAGACGGTGGAACCCCACGGAGTAGCCCTGCTGCTGCTCAGAGATCTCCAAGGGTCCTTGACTGCCATGTGCATTAGAAATAGACATTTTAGACATGTTTGTCACAGGCCCGGGGCCCAAGCCCCTCACTGAGATGAAGGGCCAGGAGGATTGGGGTGTACAGCTGGAGTTCACCTCCACAGGGAGGTATCCAGAGCCCCGCACAGTGTGGGGGATCCCTATGGTGAGCTCATGCCCGCCCTGGAGGAGGCTCACACCAATGACACACACGGCCTCTGCAGGGTCACCATGGCCGTGACCATCAGGGACAGCTCTGTGAGGACAAGCCCTGCTCTGTCAACAACACCTGCTGGGCCAGGAGAGGGGCTCTGGGGTCTTCCTTCCAGGTCAGCTCCCTGCCCTCTGGGGGCCCAGCCTGTGGACACAGGACCCTCAGCAGACAGTTGGGAGCCTGAGTGGGGCTGGGGGAGGGGCGGGGCTGGGAGGGTCCTGGGCCCTGAGGAGCTCAGGCTACAGCTGAGCTGAGGCCTCCCCTCCTCACAGGGGGCATCACAGAGTCTCCCATCCCAGGAGGAGGAGCCTCGTCTCTGAGGATAAATCTGATCATTTTTCCCTGTTACTGTTCTGATGCTGCAGCTACAGTTGTGTGTTCAGAACAATCACACACTGTGCACAGTGTGCATGCAGGGGGCTTTCTTGTCCTCTTGGTGCTGATGCTGAAGCCTCCCCTCCTGCTCATGGAGTTTTCCAAAGATGGAACTGGGATAGTCAGTATCTACAGACACTCATAAAGTCATTCAACAAACACTTCACAAGGATCACATATGTTCTAGGCACTGTTCTAGAAACAAGAGATAAATCAGTAAAGAAAATGCATAAGGATCCCTTCCCTCATGGGGCTCCCCATCTAGAAATCAGAGACTAATCTATAAAACAACTAAAGGCAGGAGTAAAATAATTGATTAAACTAATATATTAGAGTGTGAGATGTGCTATAGAAAAATTAATTGGGAATGGATATATGTGGAGGCTAGAGGCAGGGGAGCGGTGATGGAACTGGAAAGGTGAGGGGAGGCTCCTGTGAGAAGGGACAACAGGGCACGTGAGGGGTGAGCACCAGGGAGCAGGAGGGCAGGGGCCAGGGGCCTGAGGCAGCAGCACGTCTGGCAGTTTCTAGGAACCCGGGAGGCAGGTGTGGGGGGAGGGACTGAGTGCAGGGAGAAGGGGAGGAGGGGGGTGCGGACCTGGAAGGGGCCCAGACCAGATGGGGTGAAGCAGGCCCCAGGGGGCCTGTGGTGGAGTCTCTGTGAGACAGGAGCCAGGGCAGGGACTGGAGCAGAGGCCGGAAGGAGGGGGTTGCAGTGACCAGGCCCCAGTGAGGGCGGCTCAGCGGGGACGGTGACGGTTGTGGGTTTTCAGTCATCGGGTCCTTCCCACTGGGACTGCAGGTGCTGCTGCTCCTCTGTCTCCCCAGCCCTGACAGGTGACAAACCTAGAACTACTTAGTAACCAGCTGACGGCTTCTGTTTGAGGGAAAACCGTCCATGGACTGGGGGCTGCAGGGCCTCGCCCAGGAGGGAGCCTCCCCCTGAGGGATTTGGGGTGACAGGAAGGGGTGCAGAGGCAGAAAGGGCCTGTCTGGGGGGCGGGGTGTCCTGGCCAGGCATCTGCTCCTGTGTGTGTGGCGGGGCAGGTGAGTGGCTGAGCTGCTGGGAGGGTTGCCCTGGGCGTCTGTCTGTTTCCCTGACAACGGGGTGTTTCCAGCGCGCCCAGCAGACGTCAGCGTGGGTGTGTTGTGTGGGCCACAGGGGCGGCCTCTGCTCTGTGGGTCACGTGTGTGAGTTGTCTGTACCAGCCCCCAGCCGCGGCCCCCGCTGTGGTTCCTGCGAGGGAAGAGGACGGAGCAGGGACCTGAGCGAGCTCCTCAGAGGTGCACCCAGGGGTGCTCTCGCCTGGGTCTCCCTGGTCTCACTGACTGGGACTTTTCCAGTCTTCCTTCCAGAAGGAGTCTTCATCCCCAGCCCCCCTGCCTGGACAGTGGCCCTGGCGGTCCTCCCCCCGCTCTGCTCCTCCTCATCACGTCGGGGTCGGATCCGCAGGCACCTGCTTCTCTGTTTCCGGGCCTGGACCTGCCTTCCCGGTGCCCGACTCAGTTGGACGTCGTCCTCGCCGCAGTGGAGACGAGCGTTGCTGGGCGGCCCCTCCCTGTGGGCTCACAACACACACACACACACACACACACACTCACGTGCAGAGCAGGGGACCTTACCTACAGCACAGCTTTCTCTAGTGAAAATGGACCTTTCTGAGTATATTGACCCATTTCACACCCATTTCCCTCCCAGCGCCACCCACAGGTCTGGGTGAGAACTGCGCCTGGGACCCCGGATCCCGGGAAACTCCAAAGAGGTGAGAAACCATCTGCCCAGAAGCTGCCATCTGGTTGGGAACCAGGTGGCTTCTCTGTGTCAGAGAAACCGGGGTGCTCCCGACAAGACTGGAATGTGTCCCTCCTCCTGATTCGACTTCTAGCAGCAAAGCTTTCGGTGGATGAATCTGTGGGTGATACAGCAGGGGCCCTCAGAGAAGGGCCCCCACCCCCCCACTCTGTGGCTGCAGCCTGAGCTGGGCAGGAAAGTCACTCCCTGTCCCCTGTGGGGTTGGCTGGGAGGGACGCGCCTGTCGCCCCGGCCTGACCACGGGCAGGGAGAGCTCTCGTGCAGCCCCAGTGCTCTGCGCCGCAGGGGCCCGGCTCCCACTGCATTTACCCTCTGAGCCAACTGCCTGCCTTTCCGCAGCTTCCTGCCGGCGCCCACGGTCCCGGCCGATTCCACAGCAACAGTGACCCCCAGACTGGGGGGCAGGGAGGGGATCTGCTCCGTGCAAACCAGCTCCACTGGGACGGAGCAGGGACGTGGGAACGGGGCTGTGGGACTGTCCTGGACACAAGAGGCCCAGGGCCCAGACCACTGAGTGACTGGACAGCTGCCCCCAGTCAGCTCTGCGCCGCTGCTCTGCCCTGGGAGAAATGTGCCCCCTCTGCTCCAGGTTCAGTCCCAGGTGGGAAGAGAAACTGCGTCTCTGACACAGAGGGGAGGGGCCTTACAAGTCCAGGAGTCCCTGTCCCTAGATTCTAGCCCTGATTGGCCCACCCTCATGCAAATGAGGACTCCAAATTCTTACTGTTTGATTGGTCCAAAAGTCACTTTCTTGTTTGAGCTGCTCTGATTGGCCCGACCTGCACACCTGTCCTTGGAAGGCTAAAGCCTGAGTCTTATTGCTTGAAGTGGGCTTCTGGGAGGTTTCTGCAGAAGGGCGGGCTCACTGGGAAAAATCACGTGTGGGAAGCGTCAGTGCAAAGGTGGGCAGACCAGTGCAGGCCTCTCTGTGAAGTCTAGTTTGCCTGAGGGACCCTGTGCAGAAATGGCTCCTGGGCTGTGTGTTTCAAAATGTGAGCCCAGTTACTCACCAAGACGCCTTGTTAGGGGTGGCTTTATTTCTCAGGGTTCACACTGCCATCTTGAAGGGATTCATGGAATCCCACTTCCTACAGGTCCCCAAGAATGACAGTCTCCTGCTGTGGCATCAGCAGTGAAGCCAGAACCTCTGTCATCAGATGCCAGGGGACCAAGGGAAGGGGCCTGAGTGGGTGCTTGTCCTGTGTCAGGCTATGGGGAGCTTCCTGCTGACAGAACATTGGAGGTGGCCTTGATCTTGGAGGAGGGGCCAGGGACCCTGGTCAGACCATCTGTAAAAGGAGGGAGACTAGACATTTAGAAGCGAGGGATACCCACTGAGTGTTTTGAAATTACGACTGAAAATTACTCCTACATCCACGTTTTAAACACAGCTTCGGTGCCTCATGCATTTCAGGACTGTGTTCTCCGTGACAGGTGTGTGTGGACACTCCCAGGGGAAGGTGTGCTGATGCTCCCAGCTTACTTTAAAAGGCTCCAGATAAATAAGTGCAGGGGCATCAACAGAAGGATGCATGATTATGAAGTAAGTGTCTATTATAAACGTGCACTGTGGACTCTCAACAGCAGGTGTGCAGAGACCTGGATGTGGGCAGACTGACAGCTGTCAGAAGGGAGGGGTGGGGGGCTGAGTGG